TTATCCTTCCTGGGAGGATGCTTGAAGGGTTTACCAGGGTTCTAAGGTTAGAGATGCTTTGAGGTACAGTGAAATATTTTGGTCAGTTTTGGTTAACATGTTCCTTTTTTTTTTGGTAACTTTAAACTAAGAAAAAGTCCTTATGTAGTATTGAAGTATTGATGTTTCGTACTGTTTTCAAAACGATTAACTTTGCATTTTAAAATGCTGGAAAAGTTCTGTTAAATATCAGATTTTGATCTGAAGGACATGAGACAGATTGACAAGACAAAGGATGAGGCAGATGGGGATTTTGATTTTTCCCTTTTCTCCAAGTCCTTTCTCCTCCACTGTTCCTAAGACACTGAGAAGAGCCCCCCCTCATTACCTGCACTATGTGCTTTTCAGTCTCCTACTGCATCTAACTCTCAGGCCATTTTCCGTGGCACGAAACTGGAAGCGTTGACTGTTAATAATGGTACAAACCACTGATTTCTAGGTACTTAAAATAATTTGAGTATCTAATCCAAATTGAAGTATCCAAGTAATTGAGACAGTCATCACTTTGATGAGACATTTTCCAAGTGAACCATCTGGGAAGGGAGATGCAATATTTTAATCATTTCACGCATGAGGCTTTATAGTCCACCATTAGTCAGATGTACCACACTGGGTTTATTCATCCAAGGGAGACTCCCTGAGCCAAAATACTATGAGTCCTGCACCATTTAGAGACAACAAATAAGATGATCTTATCAGGGTCCTGTCGGGGACCGATAGGGGCTGCTTCTGAAAGTGCCAAATGATCATCTGTTTGTGAAATATTACTTGGTCCTGTGTGTTAAACTCAAGTTTAATTCACTTTTTAAAAGTACAGATGGATTCTCACCTTGCTTCTAAACTGGTTGCAAAAGTTAAATATCTGTTTAAGAGAAAAACTGATATTTTAAGATTCTTATATTTAAATGGAGAACAGAATGCTTTAAGACACTTTGCATCAATCAGTGTATAGTTACTGATTTTTTAAATTTTTCCTTTTGGATCCAAGGGTGGTGGCTGAGAGTTCAGGTTTGGTGCCAAACTCTAACCCTGCCTTTTAGTAATTGTGTAATCTTCAGCAAGTCAGGGAATGTCTCTAAGGCTTCCTTTTTAAATGAGGATAATAGTACTTCTCAGCACTGGGGTGAAGATCAGATGAGCTTTGTGTTTAAAACGCTTCTTCTTCACACAGAGCAAAGCAATGCTCAGTGCTTTATGATGGTGACTGTTAATATTGTGGATATTTTCATTCTTTCTTTCTTTTTCACCGTTACTGTGTTGTGTCAGTAAATGATTGCCTAAGTGTTTCAACAGTGTTGATTTCATCGTCTAGTGTTTTTAGAGCAAATGTAATTCTGCTACTTCGTGGGGTTTTTTTTTTTTGCAATAGTATTGCATTATAAAATTCTCAGACTTCCTGGAGAATGCACCATCTCTCATATTTTTGTTCTATGGCAAAATGTGTTAGTAGTTCCAAACGCCTGACATAAACATGAACTCTTGGGAAATCACCCTGTCCTAAGCCGGGGCAGCTTTGTGTACTTCGTTGTTTGCTTACTCTTAATTAATCAAACCATTAGTCCTTTTGCCAGTCGTCACTGAGGAATCCCTTGAGGGCTATTTCTTAACAGTCTTAATCACCTCCAGACCCCGACTCCAATTCTTTTTTCCAATTGCAGTGTCTTCCTTAAGGCACGGATGCTTGGGTCAATTACTTTTCAAGTCAATTTTGTCAGTTGATTCCAACAAACATTTTAAATACCCCTCACACGAACACTAGTGAGACAAATCGTGAGGTATTTCCAATAATACAGTCTCGTATTGCCTTCTTTAAAGATATTTTTGTAATTTCTATTTATGCCTTTTTAAGGCACTTGGGCATAGAGAACTCTATTCAGTGATTTGATAAGACCCTGGCTTGTTTTAGTAAAAGTCTGTGTTTAGCATCAGATGCTATGGGGAAACTGCACTTACTCAAAGACAGTACCTTCTGTGGAATATAAAATGCTAGTGTGTATGAGTGATGTTGTGTTTCGCTCTGAGCCCTTTTGTTTGAGCCTCAACACGCTCAGCAGGTCTGTCTGAATTCCCTGATGACAGCTGTTACTGGGGCTGCATGTTATTTCATATATCATTTGTTGAACTGATGCTTGAAAAGGGAAATGGCATTGAATTGTATGCAATTTTGAATCTAAATAGGAATTTTCTTTTCCTTATAGAGGTAAAATTAGGAAAGTGGAGTTAAAAATCCAAGCCCTGTATTTGTGAATTAGGATTGTGCAATGCTTGTGTGCAATGCTTGTGTGCAATGCCTGTGCACACTGTGCGGGGAGCTGTGGACTTTGGGACCATCACCTCACCACCAACTGGAAGTCCCAGCCTTGCCCCCAAGGACAGGGATCAGAAGATGGATTCACTCAAAGGATGAAAGGGCAAATTTGCCTCTTTAATATTTTAAATATTTTATTTATTATCATATTATTTTATTATTTTTTGGCAGAGGGGGAGGTAATTTTATTTATTT